TAGTCGATACCCGACTCGATTCCGGATTAGTCGGTTCCCCTATGGATTCGGAAACCGGAAGGTCCCTGTACCAAAAAAAAATATTTCATAGTCGATAAGATGTATTTTTATTTGTTTAAGTATGATCACTTCTTAACTAATCCTATCTATATAGAGAGAGATTATAATTTTTTGTTTTATTTGTTCGGAATGAAATTATAAGTTCAGCTTTCCCATGTTATCGATCCGCATTTTTTAAGATTCCCCACCTCACAGGAAAAAACTGGAATTTATGCTATATATTTAGTCAAATTCAATTGCCTAAATTCAACACGGTTAACAAATACTCAAAACATGTCATAGTAAATGAAAAAACTATATATCATTAGTAAAATTACATTGCCAAAAGTTCAAACTATTGGTAAGCATTTCAAATCAAGCCACTACTATAATATGGGACTCAAATGATGTCTCTCTTTGAAAATAAGCAGGCAAAGAATAGTGAGTCTTTGTATTGGGAGCAAATTTATTTTCATGTTGGGAGCAACTCTTGTCTCTATTCTCCTGTGAGGAGCTTTGTGTTGTAGTTTTTGTGATTTGTTGTGTTGCTGTTTAGTGAGTCTTTTTCGATTTCTAGCATTGCTAGTGTCGGATTTCTAGGCGGTCGCAGACCTGTCCTCCCATTTTACTCAGCTTGGGTCGGTTTATTCAACCACGAGTTATATCTTTGTACATTCGTATCTTTGTTTTATAATATCTCTATGGTTACGTTAAAAAAAATAACAAAAAAAAAGTATAAAAAATCCTCAATTTAGGACTATTTCAAGTTCATGTTCTCTAGAAAGCATAGACATCATACAATCCCACTAAATGTCTACATGAGTTTCCAAATTATATAAATTATAATAAGTGAATGCTTGACCTATGATTTAGTTGATTTTGCATCTTCACAACGAATTATGTGATAAATGTAATGCCATTTTTTCCAATGCCACATCTCTTGATTCTGGCGTAAGACTGAGAAAATTAGTAAACTTTGTAGGTCAACTTTCTTCCAAATCGACTTGTGAAATTAACTCAAAACACGGTTTACCAAAAAAAAAATCAAAAATTCTTAACGAAGATTACAGATCTTGATAGATCTGTACTGTAATCGCCTTATTGAACCATTTTCTTATGATTCATTGAAGCATTTTAGGAAAATAGGAACGACAACATTAAATCAAAACAAAAAATATCAGATTTTGATAGATATGTTATGTAATCGGTCGATTGCACTGTTTTACTATGACTTAGTAAAACGGTTTTGTAAAATATGAATGATTTTGATGTTATATCTTTGTTTTGTTTGAAATTTTTTAATATTCAAAAAGATTTCAGAATTTGATCGGAATATCTCGCGGAAAAACAAAGTAAAAGGCATGATTATCGAAAAAAAAATCTATTTTGACAGAGAGAAAAAAACGCGTGATCCGCTGATAACAAGAGAAAAATGAGTTTGAATCATGGAGTGTTCGGATTATACAAGTCGAGGGTTTTGTAACCATTTTTTTAGTATCTGGTCTTATTAGTTACCTTTTTTTTTGTTAAAAAAATGTGCATTAAGTTCGGTTTGAAAAAAAAAAAAAAAGTTTTTTGGTTTTATCATATCGGGCCCATTAAACAAAGAGCTTTACTGAGAATATCGGCCCAAGTCACCCTTACAAATTTTTTAATAAAATATTAAAAGTCCAATTCACCACATTTTTTTAATATGTATCCAACTCAATTCAACATCCCCTCCCCTATATATTAATCCAGAACACGCTGAGCCTACATGGCTGCTTCTGGTGCTCCGAAATCTTATGTGGCAAAATTACATGCTTCGTTATTAGGCTTGGGTAAATTTTAATTTAATTCCAAACCAAAAATAATTAGGTTCGGATTACCATAAATATGTTAATTATTTATGGTCATGTTATATGCATTAATTGCATTTTAATATCATTTCGTATTATAACTATTGAATTGTATATGTATTTTAAAAGTCAATAACTTTTGTATTTTTTATTAGTTTTACATATGTAATATATCAAATTAATCTTCTTTGATGAGCTTCGATTTAACATCAATATTGTATGTATAAAAAAATAATTTATATTTATCTTTATAACAATAATAAAATTATTTTTAATATTAATTAGAAAAATAAAATTATTTATCAACTAATATATTTATATTTCAAATAGTTATATGATATAAATTATAAAAACTAATATAATATAACACATGTAAGTCATAAGTAACACATATCATTCTAAAATATTTAGTAACATATTTTTTTTTTGTAAAAAAGTAAACTAAATTTAATATAGTTTTCTCATTAATTTTAAAATTTAAGAATATTTTTTTTAAAAAAGCACCTGTGTAATACACGGGTGTTGTACTAGTTGTTTATAATGCAATTATTTGTTTAGTTGATAATTTCGACTTAAATGTTTATATTGGATGAGAATTATAATAAATTCGGCACACATTTTATTATTCCTTATTTGTTTTAGTTTCATCCTGAATTATATTACTTTGGCTTTAAGCTTTAATCTTTTCAATAAAATTTTCAACTTATTAGTGCATATAGGCATTATGTTGTGTTTAATATTTTAGTACCACACGTTTGTCATAATGAATGTCACAAATTGTGTTTCATTAGAAAATCAATTTCGCTTATTTCATTCAATTATGTTGCAATTGTTATAATCAGAAATGTAGTTGTTGTATCCAATATTTTTAAAATTTTATTGTATTTTCTTATTTTAATTTTGTCAATTATTCATTGTAAGTACGCCATTTGATATTTCTACATCAACACCTTCATTTCAAACACTGACAGTCAATTATACTTCGTCATTCATCCGTCAAAGTCCTCGTATTATTTTTGTTGATATAATGTTTTTTTTATTCTTATATATGTTTGTTATTAGTAATTTGTTCAATATTATTATATCATATTTAATTTATAATCTTCTTGTTAGATTGTTAGGTTTTGTAATTTGCAAGTCCTCAACGTTTGTGTCAAAATGGTTCCATATTCAGCATCACTAATGTTTTTTTGGTGTGGCTTTGTTCCACTTTATGACCTTACAACGGACGACAAAAAAAATAATTTTAAATTATAATTTTGTGTTTCTTTCATTAATTAAATTATAATTTTGCATTTTTATTTTTTCTTTTTATGTTGTTATTGTTTTCAAATATTCTTCTTCGTTTAAATGTACGAGTTGATTACTAAAATAAATAAGGGATGTGTGTTATAGTTGCACATAGTGTTGTAAACGAACTGAATCGAACCGAACCGAGTTTAGGATGTTCGAGCTCGTGTTCATTTACGCTCGAACAGTGTTCGTGTTCGTTCGTTTATTTTTCGAGCAAAAAATCGTGTTCGAACTCATTCGTTTAGTGGTGCGTCAAAGTTCGAGTTCGTTCGTGTTCGAATAATTTCATAAATAAACTTTTTAAATATGTTTGATTAACTGGAAATTTGTTCGTTCGAACTCGAAAATAAAAGAATTAAAAAAATATATTTCATATTTTTTGCAAAAAATATTATATAAATATATAAAAAATAAATAATTTATAAAATTTTAGATTTTTTATTAAAAATATTATGCAAATATATAAAAAAAATAAAATTATGTTAAATTAATGTAAACATAATCGAACGTTCACGGACGAGCTCGTGTTCGTTCGATTATTAAACGAGCCTAACTTTCTGTTCGAATTCGACTCGATTAACAATCAAACGAGCTTTTGTCGAACACGAACGAGCTTTTGTTCGCGAACGTTCAATTCGTTTACAACTCTAGTTGCAATTGATGAAAAGTTATCATGTTATCTCTAGACGTGGCCACGGGTCAACCGGCCTGGACTCGGCCCGATCAAATCCGTTGACCACAGGTTCGGGCTTAGCTCGGATTTCAACCGGGTCAATCCAGGTTCGGGATTTTTTCGACCCTGACCTGGCGGGCCGGGTCCGTGCCGGCACAGAAAAAACATATGATTTTCAAATTTTTTTTTTTTTTAGGGCAGGCCCAAACCTAGGCCCGGCCCCGCTCGACTTGGCGCAGACCTAGGCCGTGCCGGTTCAGGGTCCGCCGAACCCAACCCGTCGGCCCGTCGAGCCCGGCCCGAGATTTGGCCATGTCAAGTTATCTCCTTTGCAATAAGGCGATTTTCCTTGATATGATTTTATAAAGACATATGACTTCATCAAATCGATGGATCAAAGTGAGAATTGACAACATGGGTCAGTTCGTGTGGTAAGTAGTTTGATGAGCAAAGTCGTGTTACTTAATAATACAGAAAACTGTTGTTGGGAGACTCACCCACTATTGTCAGGTGTGCGCCTCGAGTCGACCAACAAATTAGTTGGGTGAAAGTGGGTAAAAGAAAAAGTGAGAATTGACTTACTCAATTATTAATAATAATATGGAAAGTCTCCATATTTGAATTTATGCATTATGCCATTATTATGAATAAAAATGTGTTTGTACAGGTCAAAGATAGCAACGTTAAATACGCACCTTACAGTTGTGTTGTGCAGCTGTCTCCAAATCCCATAATATATATATTTTTTTTTTAATTCCACAACCTTTTTGACTTTTTCAAACCAAACTTTTTTTAATTAATTCCTCCTTTTCCCACTAATAATTCAATTCTTATTCTATTCCTCCCAAAAAAAAAAGACAACCCGGCTCGGATTTCAAACATGAGCATCCAAAGCTAAACAAATACTAATAAAGATAAAAATAAAAAAAAGTCATCGGATAAATTAAAGAAAGCAACACAACATTACTCAAAGTTCAAACATATATTTTTTCTTTTCGCTTTGCAGAATCTAGGCTCTACTCCTACCAAATTTACAATCCACCCCCCGAATTTTCTAAAAATTTCTAAAAAGGCCCCACCACCCTACTCATTTTTCCACTCCCAAAAACAACCCCTCCATCTCCCTCGAAATTACAAAAGAGACCACCTCTGTCAACTCATGACGACTCGAACACCACCAACTGGGCCGGTGGTGCGGCAGGGATCTCCTGCATCGCGCCCTGCGTGTGCCTGTGCTCCCCCTCGTACGTCACTATCAGCATCGTTGGATCATCGGTCGCCCTCTCCACGTGCTTCCTAGCCGGGCAACCCCTCACAGTACTGCACTTGTAGTAACCCCTGAAAACGGAGAAAAAGCGAAACTAATGAGCAACAGATCGATCGTAGATTAATCAATTGGACATGTCAGTTTGATCTTAGGGTGATCGGAGATGGTGCACGGTAGTTACCGTGGGTATGGCGAGCCCTTGATTGGCTTCTGACCGTATTTTCTCCACGAGTACTCGTCCGCCGGGATATCGGCGACCTTCGAGCTTATCGCCGGAACTCTGATAGTTCTCTTCACCCTGGATTTCCTGTAGAATCAATACTGGCCGTTAGATTTTAAGCAACGATGGAAAGAAAAGGAAAATCGAACAATAGGAATATTAATTCAGAGATTATTTGGTAAATTTGAGAATTGAGGGGGGCAAAATTGGTATTTTAGAAACATGACTTGCCGTGAAAAGCATGGTGATCGGCGTGAAAAACAACTTTCGCTGAGTCGGTTTCCACTGACAAGCGTGCTTTGGCAAGAGAGTTGGCTGATGACCCACTTGCACTCGTTTTTATTTTTCATTTTTTTTTTTTTTTTTGCAGAAAGTCAAATTTTCTCTAATTTTTTTTTGTCCATATCTGATTTAATTCCATAAAATTAATGAAAACAGCAAGGAAGAAGGGATGGAGTTTCAAATCGGCAACGTACCTCTTTTTACAGTGACACCGGGTATGACCAGAGGTTTTCCCGGACAGGCTATCGGAGTGCCCGTGCTCCAGACACCTTTTGCCGGAGAGCGGCGGTTTCCCGGCGGAGATCGCCGGAGCAAGAAACATAGACGACGGACCACCTTTTCCGTTGGAAACGCTCCCTTCACCCGTAATGGAGGACAAAAAGGTCGAAGACGAGTTCCCGGAGGTCGATAACGCCGCAGATAAACTGAACCCCTCTTTACCCGTCTTCTCGCCCCCATCCTTACCGAAAACAGCACCCGGCTTGGTGAAATCAAGCGTCAGAGACGGAGCGGCTGCCGGCGCCTGAGCTTCAGCGACGGACGGAGCCGGGGAGAGAGAAAAGAGGTTCAGAGGCTGTAGCTGAGGCTGAGGCCGAGGCTGGTAAACTCCAGAAGTCGGAATCGTCGGAGGCTGAGCCGAGACTGAAGGCAGCTTGTGGTGCTGAACCGAGTTGAAGGCAGCGGCATCCGGCTGAGGCTGCACCGGAGCCCGGCGGAACCGAGCGTGTCCGGACCGGTTCAGGATGGAAATCACCTTCCTAAACTTGGAGACGGTGAAATCAGTGATTTCCCGGCAGTCGAGCTGCTGGCTCTGGCACATCTGCTGCTGCTGTTGATGGGAAACTGTTCGAATCAATTGCTCCATGGATTTCAACCCGGCTGAGGTGGCTTCCTGAATGGCCATCTGCTCGTTGAGATTTGTGTAGCCCAGTAACTCAACCGCCATGATTAAACGTACACAGATCACAAAATAGGCTTAATTTTATTGATATATTAATTTTAATTTTTATTTTTATTTTTTTCTCTCTACTGCAACTTCTTCATCGGTACGAGTATTTGTTGAGAAGGAAGAAAAGGAAAAGCAGAGGTGAATGAGAAGTGGGGGAGAAAGAGGGGAAATATATGGGGGTGAAGGCGACCGGTCACCGGGTATGCCTGTACAAGTCAAACCAATTGGTTTTGATCCAACGGCTGAGATTTGGCAATTGAAGATTTCAATGTAGTGGGGTCAAAAGAGACAAATTAGTAGCCTATTTTCTGTTTCAGAGTGGGTGGGGTGCAGTGCGGGGCCCAGTTAGTTGAGGGTCTACGAATTGCTATTTCCAGTTCGTTTGTGTACGCTCCAGTACGTGCGTACAATTCAGGTAGCACTCGGTACAGTTTACGCATCGTCACATTCAGTTAGGAAGAAGGTGGTTGTTTATAGATTTTAACTCAAAAATAATAATAATAATAATAATATAATAATAATAATAAACTCAAATTTATCTCAATTTTATTAAATCTCAATATCTTCAACAGTATTAATAATTAAATAATATTAATTAATTATTTTTATACATTATGTTAACTTTAATTTACTATTTATAATTATCGTTTAATTTTAACGATTATTTTTAATCATATTAATTGTATTACTTTTTTTAAAAAATTAACTATATTAAAAAATAAATCAAATAAAAATTAATTGAATCCATAAATAATCACCTGAAATAAGTATTTTTTTTGGGCTGGAATTGTGATTTAGAAAAAAATTGTAATGATTAATTTCTCGTGGCAAGGAAAACAGTTGGTGAGAACAATACAAATTAGGGATTGAGTTGGGTAGTACCAGCTGTGACAAATTAATTAAATAAATGGTGAATTTTTGAAATATTACTGTTATTAATTTTTGGTATGAAGATTATTTTTATGTTTTTCTAAATTGATTATTATTAATCTTCTATACATATATAAAAGGACAACTTATTGACTAAAAATAGTAACAAGAAAAAAAAATCAATCACCATTTATTGCATCCTATTTTTGGTGATTTTTAATTTTTTATTTAAATTATTTCCAAAAAATCAAACAGCTATAAGCACCCCAAATATATGGGTTTTGTGGATTTGATTTAAGTTAATTTCGGTTGATGATTACAATTTGGTAAAGTCAAAAAATTTTCTCATTTTTTAATAACAAAAAAAAAAAAAAAACTTATTACCATAAATCAAAAAATTTGAATTAGGCAAAAAACAATCGCATGTATCTTTTTCTAATTACGACAGATCAATTGTTTATTAAAAGTCGAATTGCATTGAAATTGAGTTAATTTAGATAAAATTTGGCATGACAATTTTGTAAGAATCAAAATTCTCTCATTTTTATTAAAAAAACAGTTTACCATAAAATTGAAAATCCCTAATTAAGCAAAATAATATAACATGTATCTTTACATAATTGCAACAGATCATGTTTATGCAAAAAAAGAAAATCGAATTACAAAGAAATCGAACTAGTTTCAAATTGATAATTAAAATTTAAAAACCACATATCATTAGGCTACTTTAAAAAAGAATATATCAGATTACAAAGAAATCGGCTCAGTTTCAAATTGATAATTAAAATTTAAAAATCTCATATCATATGGCTACTACTTTATTAGTTCGTAATTTTTAGACGTAAAACAGAGTTAGATAATATTAATTTGAAATTCAAAATGAAATCAGATTGGAACATTCTAAAAATTTGGGTTTTGTTTAATCCTATAAAATACAAATTTGAAATTGATTGTATACACATATACATTTTTTTCTTCTTTATATTAAGTAATTTTTTACAATTGTAAAATAATAAGATTATAGATTATCAAGAAAGACATGTTTTTAAATCTCCATTATATTTGGCTATACAATATTCATAAAACCAGTATAAATCATATCATATATATCCTGCTAAATAATTTAATTGATTTATATTTAAAATCCTAATATATATAGGTGTCAAGTGTTTATTTGCTTAGATACGGTTTATATGTAAGTTGTTTTCTATTTAATAATATATAAGTTACATTTTGTTTTATTCCAACACATGGTTTTTATGTTTTCAAATCATCCAATCATCCAAACAAAAATATTTACCTTAATAAAATTAGATTTCGCATCACACTAATACCGCACTAGTACATGGGAAATGCTATATTAAACTTATTACACAACAATTAAACTCTTCTTTACATGTTGGTCTAGTCACTAGTCAGCGTTCAATTTCTGTTTTTTTTATAATGGAAGTCCAACTTTTCAATTCAAAACCAATTCAAAAGATTATATTTTTACTTATTTATAGTTATATTAAAAGTTATACTATTTACATGTAGTATGTAGAATAGTCAACCCTAATTAATGATTTGCTATTTTTATCAAACATTTAATTAATGCATCTAATATTTTTGGTATGCAAATCAAATTAGCATTTAATTAGTTCCTAAAATATTGGGTATGCCATGTAATTCCTAAAATGTTGGTATGCAATACGTAAAAGAAGATTTTTTAATTTTTTTAAATATAAAATATTGCAACACGTAAAACTGTTCCAGTTATTTTTTTATTTTATTTTACATATAAAATCTAATCAATATTTAATGCATCCTATAAAATTGGATGGAAATAAAAAAGTACGTAAGATCTTTACCAAAATAAAAAAATACTTAATTTATTATCTAATTGTATGGAAATCTGTTCTGATTTTATGGTAACGTACAACAAATTGTGCACCCATGTTCAAGAGCTACTTTACGGGCAAGCTCTGTGGAAATAACTCATTTAGTGCTTCTGTCCCGTGCATACAGTATGTATTTGTATTATACATACTAGAAAATTGTGCACCCCGTGCATCGCACGGACTCTGTACTTATAAATGACCTTAAAATTGTGTACCCCGTGTTCACATTTTGGCCTATTACATGTCACTTACTATATATATCCCGTACATTTTTCTTTATTCATTTATATAATTATAAGACTTGATAAATGACTTTTGTGTACCCCGTGCATCGCACGGGATCTGTACTGGTCCTTGTCTAAGCGCCCACGAAATAATTAAGAAGATTGCAATTCTTTTATAACAGCTGATAAAACTAAATGCAAGTGCAACGCAAAGAACATATGTAATTAAATAGCATCAAATGATTTTCGTACGAAATCATTCATCACTCAATGTATTGACACTTGTCCAAAGTGTATTTATTATAGGACACATTTCAAACACTATTTGTGAACAAGTGGGGATGACTCCATAAATTGTGTCATCCGACGACTTCATAACAAAACTATGTAATTAACATTTAAAACAAAAACATGCAATATACATTATATATTAAATTTTTTTCTATTATTTAATTTTAATTGATTGTCAAATAATTGTCTGGAAAAGGAGATAATATGAAAATCAGAGAATAGGTACGCAATATGAACCAGCAGTTTGATATGGAATACCATAACAGATCGAAGTACAACCTAAAGAATAGTCCCACTAGTCCAGGTGAACTAGTAGGTCGATAAAACATCAAGTATGTCAGAGGTCGTGGGATCATCAGGTCGATCATGACTTCATAAAGACGTTAGCTCGTTAGCGAGTCGAGCTAGGGCTATCGGCCAGCCTGGTAGAACTCGACCTGGAGGCTTATAGGTCGATGGTGCCATCTAGAAGACGAAGCTTATACCTGGAGGCATGTGGGTAGGACCACGTGGCCTAACAAAATTGGGAAGTTTGGGAACTCGGAAGTACGAACGGGTAGCTCGAGCAGTCGGGTAAATCAATCGGGCAGTCTTGGACAACAAGGTAACACTTTTATATAAAGAGGTGAGGTATGATCAATTACACTTCACACATTCGGATATACTTACAAGCTATATATAGTTCTTCATGTTCATCATATTCTTCACATACTGACTTGAGCGTTGGAGTTTCTATGTCGATATAGGCGTTGTTTTGCAGGTATATAAACATGTAGCAGATTCAAGGTCGTTCGAGCCGGTATAGGTCGTTTACGCTACCATTTGGCACCGTTTATGGGACTTTCATTCAAAAATCCATAAAAACATCATAGCCATGGTGACTGAAGAATCTCGAAGAAAATTGGAAAATGCACACCACCAGGCTTTCAAAGTAAATCCAGACGACAGTGACCCTGATGACCAATCCTTCATGTCTCTGGGGCTCATCGGCGACCCTAGTAGCTATTGGAGGTCCTATCGCCCAACCAAGAGATAGATCAGGCAAAAAGGTCGTCCCAGCACCCCCGCGCAGCCAGGTCCAGTCCAGGTCAAGTAGATGGGACCACTAGACATCGGAGCTGCGCCAGAAGGCCAACAGATAGTCACTCTCACGAGAGAAGAGCTTAATAAGATGATTGTGGATGTCGTTGCTACGAAGTGTGCTCAACCACAGTTGTCAAACGCAGCAAACCCTGCTACAACGACAAAAAGAGAAGATAACGAGATTTACAGCAACTTGACTTTGAATTCCAATTTATTTTCAAAGAGACGAAGAAATAGATTCATCATTTCACTCGAATCAATATAGCCCAGCGCAACCTGAAAGTAGAAAGGATAGTGGCTCATATCCAGGAGTTGCAAGATAAAGTGGAGGGGAAGCGAGTCGAGAGGGGTCGCGAGCATCCTTTTACCCAAGATATATTGGATGTGGATCTACCTACTGGGTTCAGAGAGCTGATTATTACGTACGATGGGTCTATTGACCGGTCTTGGCACTTGAGGAGTTTAAAAAACATGGTGATTTTGCATTTTTACACCGATGTAGTGAAATGTAGGGCCTTTTGGCGACCTTGAGGGGAGGAGCTCAAGATTGGTTTTACCAGCTTACCCCAGGTCAAAGATTTTGAGGATTTTGCGACCATCTTCCTCAATCATTTTTCCAGTGTCAGATCACAAGAGAAGACCTGTCTCA